GCCGCCCGCCCCATCCCACCCCACCCCATGGTGACCCTGTGCCTTAAGTTGCTGGCTGATCAGCACATGGCTGCTCCACATATTTCAGGTTTTGGAACGAACCAGCAGGTGGGGCACATTGACTTTTACCCCAACGGAGGGCGGGAGATGCCCGGCTGCCAGAAGAACGCTCTGTCCCAGATCGTGGACCTAGACGGCATCTGGTCAGGTAAAGCCACACAAGTGGCTTCACTGCCCTGGGCGGGCAGCATCCTTCCAGCTGCTAATCTCACCTCTCCTTAAAAATACGCATTCCCTCCTCTGGGTTTATTTCTGAAAAATGTACATGCACCATTTGGCATGTGTCAGTTCTGATTTTTGTACCCAAAATATTATTTTAGGTGCTGTGATCTGTACAATTGACCAAGAATTGCAAAACTATTGCTTAAGAGTGTAACTCCAACAATTGTTAAAACAAAAAACACAGTGACCATTGAGTTGAGTCTGACTCCTGGCAGCTCGACATGTTTCAGAGCAGAAGCGCTCCATAAGGTTTACATGGCTCTGACCTTTTGGAAACAGATTGCCAGACCTGTCTTCTGAGGTGCCTTTAGTTGCATTTGAACTGCCAACTATTGGCTAGTAGTTGAGCGCTTAACTGTCAGAGGCCAAATTCTGAAAATCCAGCCCCAATGTGGAGCCATGCCCCTTGGAGAGAGTGTCATAGCAGCTGTCACAGCCCCTGGCCTCCTTTGCTGACCTTCTGACCTGTCTCCCCAGGAACCCGGGACTTCGTAGCCTGCAATCACTTAAGAAGCTACAAGTACTACTTGGAGAGCATCCTGAGCCCTGACGGGTTTGCCGCATACCCCTGCGCTTCCTACAAGGACTTTAAATCTGTAAGCCCACCTCTTGCCTTGGGTGGTGGGCACCACCCCACTGTGAGGCTGTCCTCCTGGGGCTGGCAGTGCCCTCCCGGGGACATTTCCCACATGCTTGCTGATGCCGCTCAGAACTCCCGGTCCTATACAGGTTGATTCTGATTCACAGCAACCCTACAGGATGGACTAGAACTGGTCCATTCGGTTCCCAATGCTATAATCTTCACAGAAGCAGATTGCCCCATCTTTCTCCCACAAAGTGGCTGGGAGTTCACTTAACCCATTTTTGATTAGCTGCTGAACACTTAACCCCTCTGCCACCAGGGCTCTTTCTCACAGTCCTATAGAGTGGAGCAAAACCAAACAAAACCAAAACCTTAGATGAAGTGGCTGAGATTGCAGATGGGTCCTGTGCAAGAGGAAGACTGGGCAATCAGAGAGAGGAGCTAGCCATTCAATGATCTAGGAAGGCTCCCTGCAGGAAGTATCATTTGAATGTGGCTTGGAGGATGGTAGAGTTTAGAAGGAAGAGCAGGGGTGCACATTTCTGGCCAGGGCAGGATGGGAGCAGAATGGTGGCAGCCATCATAGAGCTGCCCAGAGAGAAGGGAAGGTGGGTGCTGTGTCTGACGTGCCAGGCTGGGAGTCTGTGCCTCATCCGGCTGGTAACAAGGAGACAGAGGGAAGGGCTGCTGTGCTGGAGGGTGCCTGCGCTGTGCACTGCTTCACTGCTTGGCCTCCAGTGACAGCACGCTGGTAGCTTGAAACTGGCCATGGTCACAATATTTACTCTGCCCAAATTGGTCAGTGCTACCATGAGGACTTTTTCCGCCAGAGCGCCTTTGGTAAACATTTACTAACACACCACTAAGTGGCACGTCTGATCGATCTAACCCGGGGCCCAGGCATCAGTATGTTGTCCAGCTCCCAGATAATTCTCATGCTTCAGGGCTGGGGACCACTGCCCTGGTTGAAGGTAACTTAGAGATCAACGTTCTAATCCCCTTTCTGTTACAAATAAGGAAACCGAGGCTTTGGGTCCATTGAGTGTCTGCTCTACCAGATACATTGGTCATAAAAAACAAATTCCTCTTGCCACTCTCTCTTCTCCTTAGAACAAGTGCTTCCCCTGCCCCAGTGAAGGGTGCCCACAGATGGGTCACTATGCTGACAAATTTGCCGGCAAGACCAGTGATGAGCCCCAGAAATTCTTCCTGAACACAGGAGATGCCAGCAGTTTTGCTCGTAAGTTTCCACTTGGCCTTTCTGTCCCTTGCAAAGAAAGTTTTGCTTCTGTTACAAAGGAAGGCTTTTCCTTTAGCTGAGATATTTGTGGACATCTTTTGACTATCTTGGAAAACTCAAGTCAGCAACATCTCAGTATCTGAAATGCATTTTTTTTAGTTTACAATTTGTTCCCATGTACAGTTCAGTTGTGTTAATTGCTTAGCTCATGCTGTGCAAGCGTCACATATGTTTCCGATGTTTCTTATCAGAAGCTCAGTGCCCCAAGCACTGCCTTTTTATTTCATAGTATGATTCATCAAGGAAAGGGACATACCACCCAACTGTCCCTTTTAAGGCAACTGGGTGGGGGCCGGGTGGATAGAGAGAGTCCCTGTTCCTCCCATTTTGTGTCAGTGGCACTAAAGGAGTGGAAGAAAATTGGATATTAATGGGATGATGGCAATTGCATGTCCTGGGGCCACTCATCCTGGCTTTTCATTGTTAAAACTACTTCTGTTTGAGACCGTCTCCTAGGCCCTTGTTCTTTCATTCATTCAGCAAACATTTATTCGGTGCCAAGTCTTGGCTGGGCTGGGCCCCTCAAGAGGCTCACCTCAGATTTCCTCACTCCCCCTCCCCACTTTGGTCCCTGGTTCCCTGACACTCAGGCTGTCCTCGGTGGAGTGAGGGTCAGAGTGGGGTGAGATGGAGAGGATTTCCCTTAAAAACCTGCTGAATGGACGAGGACAGAGGATCACCATGGCATTGTAGGCACTTTATACCACCTTGTTCCCTGGTGGTGCAGACAGTTAAGCACTGAGCTGCTATCCTGAAGGTTGGAGGTTCAACTCCCCCCAGAAGAAAGGCCAGGGAATCAGCTTCTGAAAAGTCAACGACTGCAAGCCCCAGGAGCACAGTTCTGCTCCGACACACACAGGGTGGCCAGGGGTCGGGACTGACCTCACGGCCACGGCACTGGCCTCACGGTGGTTCCCCGATGCCTGTGCTGTCAACACCGAGGCCGGGTGCGTTGCATATACAGATACAACCCATGTCTCACATACTGTTTAAAGTCAGGTTTATTGAGGGAAATTTACATGAAGCAAAAGTCACCCTTTTTATAGTTTTGTGAGTGTTGACAAATGAATAATTGTGTAACTACCACCATAAGCCAGATGTAAAATATTTCCATCATTTTATGTATATATTTGCTGTTGTTGTTGTTGTTATGTGCCATCGAGTCAGACAGGACTCATAGTGATCCCTCCTTGGGTTTCCGAGGCAGTATCACTACAGAAGTAGATTGCCCAACCTTCCTTCCGAGGAGTGGCTGGTGGGTTTGAACCGCCAGCCTTCTGGTTAGCAGTCAAGTGCCTTAGGCACTATGCTACCAGAGCTCCTAGAGGAAGACACTAGTAGGTACGTATTTTCCCTTAAGGCTTTGAGTTGTAGACTAACAAGTAAAATTTCTTATATGCTGATGCCTCACTGTGAGGGGGATAGGAATCTGGGATTTGGGGCATCTCTTCCATGTGGGAATAAATTGAGCTTCTTTCAATCCTTTGTGCAGGCTGGAGATACGGTGTTTCTGTAACACTCTCTGGAAAAATGGTCACTGGTCTGGTCAAAGTGGCTTTGTTTGGAAATAAAGGAAACACTCACCAGTATGACATCTTCAAGTATGTTTCCTAGTTTAGTGGTGTATCTTGTTTGATAAAGTGTACAGGCTTCAGTGGGCAAATCCATGCACTTAGCTTAAACACTTACCATTGGGTTTTGTATCAATGGATTTTAAATGGTTTACTCTAGGCACTGAAGCTGACTGTAGACTTTGCTAATATTCCCCCCACCTCTCTAATAAACCCAGGTTTTCAGTTCTTTCTCAACAGATCAGCTTTTTAAAAATAAGTCTAATATGACCACAGATGTCATGTTTTCTGACTAGTCATGTAATATATATATGTGTTGTATTCACCTAAGTGGCTAACTTTTTACTGTACAAATAATTCTTCCAAGAAAGTAGAAAATGATACAAAAGAATTATATGTCTTTTCTATGTACTAGGAAGGAATTAACATGACTTTGAAGAAACTAAATAATAGTTTAAATAATAGTTTGAGGCTGCCAGCCTATACCAGCCTCTTCTGTTTCTCCATTCTTTATTTGGGAATTAATTTGGAAAAGTAATCTTGTTAATTTAGAGTAGAAAAGAACGACATGGCCTTGTATGATCATTTGATCTTGTTTTTATGAGTGAGAATGTTTCTATTTCTCTGTTTCAAGGGGGATTATCATGCCGGGCTCTACCCATTCCACCGAGTTTGATGCAGACCTTGATGTGGGAACCATTGAAAAAGTCAAGTTTCTCTGGAATAACAATGTGATCAATCCAACCTTCCCCAAAGTGGGTGCAGCTAAGATCACCGTGCAGAAGGGAGAGGAGAAGACAGTGTATGTATCTTTGCTCACTGTGTCTAAGGATGTGAGTGGGTTCATGCTTGTAGTGAAAACTCACCCCAGAAAATCAGTTACAGTTAAGACAGAAAAGCCAAGAAAATCTACCTTCCTCCCCAGGCAAGCGAATTGCTAACTAAGAGCATCAAACATTTCTGTCGAATGCCTTGCTTGATGTCCTCAGCATGGTCTGTGGGGAATTCAGAGATCTGACCCTTCCTTCAAGGAAAAATATGACCAAGGTTGATACCTGACAGATTCTGAAGGGTACAAGGTTACAAGTGTGGGCTAGAGATGGCTACAGGTACAAGAAGGAATGACCAGAGACATTGCAAGATGGTAGAAGGAAAAAACAATCCATTTCATTGAATGATATAAATTTGAGGCAAGGGAAGAGAGCTGGATGGCAGTGCTTGTGGGGCCCCAGCCTGTGGGTCCCTTGCCTCACGGTGTGTCCCTGGAGGCCTTGAGCAGGAGGGGAAAGGGCAGCTGGAGAGATAATGTGGGACGACCCTGAGGGGGGCAGGGCACTGTCTCCCAAAGCAGAAGCTGCCCTGCTGCCCACCTATGACCCCAATTCTGGCCTGTAGGATGTTCTCAGTAGGGGCTTCTGGGAAGAACAGCCTGAGCCCTCCACCACTGATGGTCTCAGGGTTTAGGGACCCAGAGACTATTGCTCCCCAAGAAGGACAGTGGGATGGCAGAGCAGCCCTGGGACAGAATTCACAGTCAGGCTGGATGGCCCCTTCAAGATCCTCCCCATCCGAGTAGGAAAGGACAAAGTCTGACCCAGACAGGCGGTCAGTGGGCAACACGGCCCCTCCATTAAAGCACAAAGAAGCAGGCCAGTCAGAGGCCCTATGCAGTGGACACATGTCCAAAGCCATGCTTCTATGCCCCTAACCAAACCAGTTGCCCTCATGTTGATTCCAACTCATGGCCACCTCATATGTGTCAGAGTATAACTGTTTTCCTGACTGTAATCTTTTTAGAAGCAAATCACCAGGCTTTTTTCCACAGCACTGCTGAGTGGGTTTGGACTGCCAACCTTTGGTTAGTAGTTGGGTGAGAACCGTTGTGCCTTTCAGGGACTCCATTGGAGGCCACTCTTATCTCAAGTTAGCCCCACAGGACCCAACTAGGAAGTGAACCCGAGGCCTGGATCCTGGGGACTGTAGAGTTAAAAATGTGTCAGGAGAAAGTTGTACCCTTGGAATCTGCAAAATGAGAGATGTTCCCAGAGGATGGCATGCTGTCAGGGAGATGTGAAGAAGGAAAAGGACTCCAAGACCAAATCAGCCAGGCACTGCACCTTGCAGGTGCTCTGGGCAAAGGCCGTGGGTGGCTTCCACACCTTCTAGAGATGGCACAGAGGTCCTTGAGGCCACCCAAGGCACCAAGCACACCTGCTGCCACCCACACCCTCAGTTCACTTGTGGACTCAAGAAAATCTAATTGAAGAGAATCTGATCTCAGACATCAGATTTCTCAAACACGGGAAAATCTAAACCACACAAAACTGTTTGGGGAATTAAGAAAAAACAAATCAACCAAGCTACTTAAATATTTGGTGGAAACAGCTAGTAAGTGACAATTCACAAAATAATAATTGGAGGGGGCAAAGGAAATCGAGATTTTGGTCCACCCTCTTGTCTGTTTCTCCTTGGATTTTTTACCCACCTTATTGGTGTTTCAAGTCCTATTAAGTTACTTGCTGTCTAGAATTGCCTCCAGTGAGGTGGAGTCAGGAGAGAACCGTGGTCCCTTCCTTCCTCTCCTTCCCTCCCTCCTCTCTGACCTTATTAGGCACCTACTGCATGTAGGGACTGCGGGGGGGGAGAGAGAGAGAGAGAGAGAGAGAGAGAGAGAGGTCAGTGGAGATAAGTGAGGAGCAGGACAAAGCAGCCAAGCTCAACGGTGAGCAAAGCCTGTGGATCTGACATTCTGGCAGTGACCCTGGAAAATACAGCCCAGTAGAACAATGAGAAGGAGACCAGTGTCAGGGAAGAAGAAGGGGTGGCCACAGACCACGATCAGTGCCGAGAGCCGAGCAGCACCATCTCATTACGAATAATACCACTTCCATCTGCACTGCTTTTTATTTATAAAACTTCTCCATTTACTCTGCCATGGGATTCTCAAGGCAGGGGAGGGAACTGAGCCCTCTTCTACACACAAAGACACTGTGCTCAGAGACGTGACGTAGCTAGCCCCCCGTATCCCAGAAAGTGGGGAAGCCCAGGGAAAGGCAGGTCCTCTGACGCACCTGAAAGTCAAGGCCAAGGATAGTTTGAAGTGTGACCCCCACCATAGAAAACGTGGTCTGTGGTGTCAGACCCAGACTGCATCCTGGCCTCTTCTTTCTTCCTTTGCGGCACTTACTAACCTGAGATCTCTGTGCCTCAGCTGCCTCTCCTGTAACCAAAAAGCACTTCCTTACACTTGGACTGTGAGGGTGAAGTAAGTTCTTAGAAGTAAACCATTTAGAGTCATTGCCTGTTACTAGTAAGAGGGACGAATTGGGCAGTGTTTCATTCTGTCGAACACAGGGTCCCTATGAGTCGGAACCCACTCGACAGCACCTCCCAACAGCGATAAGAGTGCAATAGACTGCAGCAATTACATTGTTCAAGGAGTCCCTGGGTGCTGCTAATGGTTAACGGGCTCGACTGCTAACCACAAAGCTGAAGTCTGAGTGCACCCAGAGTCCCTCAGAAGAAAGGCCTGGTGATCTAGAAAAACAGCTGTTGAAAGTCCTGCGGAGCACAGTTCTGCTCTGACACTCGTGGGGTGGAAGTGAGTCAAAGCTGACCGGATAGCAGGTCACTGGGTACATCGTTCACATGCGTCCTGAGAGCGACTGAGCCAAGACTGAGTCCAGCTGGGCACCAAGGCATGGCGTCTGTTGAGGGTGCCATGTCCTCATGGAGAATGAAAAGAAAGGGGCGATCACTGCCCTCCAGGAGCCCACGGTCCAGTGGGACACAGGACAGAGGCAGAGGCCACTCCTTAACTAGCTGGACCCACAGGCTGGAAGCCTGTGGCAGTCAGCTCTCCAGGGTCTGGGTGAAGCCACCACTGGTTGCTGCTCTCGTTCCTTTTGAATGGCAAATCGGCCATCGTTTTGCTTAACTGAAGAATCTAATCACCGAGGCTTTCATCTGACTCTTACAAACTGTTCACTTTTCCCCACAGGTACAACTTCTGTAGCCAAGAAACTGTCAAAGAAGACGTGCTGCTCACTCTCACGCCTTGCTAAACTCCAGGTGCAACAGGCACAGTGTTTTTTTACATCAATAAAATCCATCGGTGCATCTATCCACTCACAGTCTGTTGCTGATGTCACGTGCTGTCTGTGGGGGCATCAGAACATCTAACGATTTCATAAGCATTTCCACATACTTGGGTTTCTTGCCACTCACTTCCCACCAAACACCCGCGTTCCCAGCATTCTTGGTCATCAAATTCACTGTCTTCCCCTTATCTGAGGGGGGAGGGGAGTGATTGACAGCAGAGCGAGAGCGAGAGCATCAGGCCTCAGCTGAGCCTTTAGCCCTGTCCCTCGCTTTACAGAGGAGGGAGTTCAGACTCACAGATGACATATGTCACGTCAGGACAGATGGTCAGACCCCGTTCCAGTGCTCCTCCCTTGACTCTGGTATCACCTTGAGGGATTGTGGAAAGACCTGCTGTGGTTTGGTCTCTTTGTGGCCATAGATTTTGTGGTGACAGAACCACCTGATGCCCCTGGCTCTTGGTGAGGTGTAACATGCTCCAGCACAGTCCCTGGGCCCCTTTGCAGAGTGTCCAAAGGCTACCAGCCCCCACTCACCCTGAAAGCCCTCTCTCCACCATACACAGGACAGACCTCAGACATTGAGGTGGCCAAAGGGATGATTTCTGAGAGGAGCATGCATGCACATTGCAGACCTCTGACGAGGTGGACTTTTCTGCCAGCCAATCAGCTGGGGCTGCCAGGGAGCCCTCAGTCCGTACTCACCAAGCGCCCAGTCCAGACAGACCCTGGGGCGAGTGTTCTCACCATGGACTCAATGCAGACAAACCCTGAGGAAATGTTCTCTTTACCACAGTCCCAGCCCAGACAGACCCTGGGGAGAGTGTTCTCACC